TTCCCTCTCCATCTCTCTCTCCTCCCTCTCTTTCTCTCTCTGGTCTCTCCCTCTCTCCCTCCCTCATCTCCCCCTCCCTCCCCTTCCCCCCTCTATCTCTCTCCCTCCCTCTCCCCCTCCCTCTCTCCCCTTCTCTCTCCCTCCCTCTCTCCCATCCCTCTCCCCCTCCCTCTATTTCTCTCTCTCCCTCTCTCTCTCTCTCCCCCCTCTCTCTCCCTCCCTCTCCTCCTCCCTCTCTTTCTCCCCCCCGTCCCCCCCTCTCTCCCTCTCTCCCTTCTCTCTCTCTCCCTCCCTCTTCCCCTCCCTCTCTTTCTCTCTCCCCCTCTCCCTCTCTCCCTCTCTCTCTCTCCCCCTCTCTCTCCCCCTCTCCCCTCCCTCTCTCCCCCCCTCTCTCTCTCCCTTCTTCTTATTTGTTCAGTATGCCTCTTGTACAAATGTCCTTGTGTTGCTTCTCGAACTGTGCCCAGCCTCTGCCCGTCCTCAGCCCAGCCTCAGCCCAGCCTCATGGAGCTTGTTAGAAACTGCCACAGAGTTCACAACTGACACAACCAATCACACAACCTCCACAGCCAAGAGTTCACCCGCAACCTGTGTGTGTGCGTCCGTGTGCGTGCGTGTGCGTGTGCGTCTGTCCATGTGTGTGTGCGTCCATGTGTGTGTGTGCGTCTGTCCATGTGTGTGTGTGTGCTGCGAGCGGCCCACGGCGAACATCGTCCCGTGCATCACCCCCAAGTTTAAAGCCATGATCCTTATCCTAATGAATTCAATAAAGGGGTAATATGGCCCCGCCCTCTGCCTGTGGTTACGGCGTTCTCGGCTCTGGGACTCCCACTGTAGCGGGTAATAAGGCCCAGACAGCCCACTCTCCATACGTCCAGCTGAAACACCCCTAATCGAATTTGTTTTAGACTTTCAAAGAATACTTGCGAGGGGTTTGTGTTAATAACCTAATAATGAGGAGAAGTGGAAAGACGATCCAAGGTCAGTAGTGGAGGAGGCCATTTTATAATTCTGAAATGTGCCGTTTCTTTGGGTCGAGTGTAATCGGAGGCTGTCCTGACGGCGGAGAGCTTCCTGTGGAGTTGGAGACATCACAGGCTCGAGAAAGTCAATTGCAATGGAAGGATTATGAAAGGCAAAACATGGGATCAAAGCCGGAGGAAGGAGCGATAAAGTGGAACAATTAGAATATTTCAGGCCAATCGTATTACGCGGAATAGACTCGAGGTTTTGTTAGGCTTTCTTTTTATTCTTTCGCTAAGATCAGGAATGTTCATAATAAACCTGACTTATATTTGAGGTCGGGGATTGTGTCTGTGCAAAAACTGCAGCAAAACACCCACACTGCAAAAAATGATGGAAAATAAGTTAAAAAATGGCTCAAATTGTGCAAAACTGTGTCATAATTTGAACAGATTTTGATTGCTGTAAACTAGATTTGCCAATGGAACAATGAGAAAAATGATCTTGTTTAAAAAAAATACAGAAATGTTTCCCTTGGAATGAGGAAATAAAGCTACAGTTCTTTTAATAAAACGAAATGTCTTTTTCCCATTGGAGAATCTGGTTTGAACACAGTCAGAATTAACTAAAATTAAGATAAAAAAAACAAGCATTCAAACATTTATTACTTCATATTTTATTATTTTTTGCTGTTCATTTCAAGAGAGAATATTCAAAATTCAGTTTATTTGCAGTTTGCAGTAAAACTTCCCACTAATAATCATCGCACACATCATTTTTACAATTTCCACAACAATAAGACAACAACATTGAGAAAAATAGCATCACAACACTATATACTTTTACATACAATACATGTGATATGTGATATAATCCATGTTTTGGAAAACTACTGAAAACTAGGACTAACTTTAGCGCTGCACAAAGTCTATAAATAAATATGCTTTTTTCTTTTCATGTCAAAATGCTTTCACTAAAACATTATTAATATTATCAGAGAAAACGGCGGCGATGTCACCACAACATTTTAGTGTAATTGGGACATGACCCGACTTCTTTTAAATGATATAATAATAAACAGGTGTTGTTTTAAAAGTGCTTTAATGATTTAAAAACAGACGTGGATATTGTCTTTTCTCTGATGAAAAGTGGTGCTTTTAGTTCCACATGAGCAGCGCTGAGTATCAGGGTTTTCTCAAGATAATTTTGACTAAGATAAGATTAAGATAAAACTGTACTGATTTCACGATTAAAAAAATTAAAGAGAAAATATATGAAAAATTAGATTAAAAAACTGCTTAAAATAATAAAAATGATAGATGAAAATAGAATAAAAAAATATGACCTAAGATTTCAGAGAATAATAAAATAAAACTAGCCCCAAACAACTTGATTCTAGTTTAAAAACATACATTAAAAGTATTATTTACTGTTTTTTTTAAATATAGCATCACAAACTTATTTTATCTAAACAAGAAAAGCTGGAAATGACAAAAGACACGGAAAACAATCTTAATAACTCACTGCTCAGACTTTTTCTCTAATAAATAACATTATAAAGTTTTATTATCTTAAAACTATTAAATAATCTTATGACAAACTGCATTCAAGTAACAAACACTTTAAAAATAAGCCTCATTTATGTGAATGAATACATTTGATCAAAACATTACTTTTTTCAGTGAACAGGGACAGGTCACTTTTGGACTCACGACGAACTGGAAATGTACAAACTGTTAAAAAGTTAAAAAAGAAAAAGTTGAAATATTCATATTGTGTATTTATCAATTCATTTATTTGTCAGGGACTTTGCAGCTCAACACAAAACAAAACACACTGAATGAGGAGAGAAGGATCCTTTATTGTTCTCAAATATAGTCAGTTTTTGGACAATACCATTATTTATGTATATTATTTTATGTAAATTCTGTCTCAGAGAAAACCCTCCAAAGCAGGTTGTGTTCTTCACTTCACATTTAGAGACTTTTGTGGAAATAACTTTTTATCTTATTTAATGTCACACTTATTCAATATCCATCATCATCCATTTCTCCCTTAATCCATTCTGGTCGGGGGTGGCAGAGTTGCACAGTACATGCACCCCTCACGATCTCTGCAGTGGTGAGTCCACAGTGAGATCTTTCAGGGAGTTCAGCAAAGTGGGTTAGGTCTGCCAAGACAAACAGCATCTCAGAGGAGTGAAGTAGGCTTATGGACGAACCACGACTCAGCAAGGCATGCTACAACTGACTACGCCCCCTATTCATGAATGTCATGATCAATAGTTTTAATTTTGAAAAAGTCATAACAAACAATCAAGGAATAATTCATGAAAGTGAGATCGTTTCAGTTGTTTTCTGTCATTTCAATATTTTGTTTGAATCTTCTTTATTCATGAAAGAAATCTCTGTTCAGTCAGAAAATATAATCAAAACATAAATTTTCCCTCAGATTTTTCCACAAATGTCCATTATTTAACCCAGAAAGTACACCTCTGAGATTTCTGTCCAGGCCCAGAGCGAGGGAGCAGTTGGATGGTTCTTAGCACCTTAGCACCTGGAGGAAAACCTACATGGACACAGGGAGAACATGCAAAAGCCACTCAGAAAGACCCTGTCCGGAGGTGGAATCGAACCCAGGACCTGCAGACCACTCAACGACTGTTTCTTCCCAATGTGGTGCAATAAGAATAAGCAAGAATGTGACCCGCAGAAAAACATATAAACGTATAAATATATACATTTATAAATATATACATTTATAAATATATACATTTATAATATATACATTTATAAATATATACATTCATAAATATGTAAATTTATTAATATATAAATTCATGGATATGTAAATTTATGAATATATACATTTATAATATATACATTTATAAATATATACATATATAATATATACATTCATAAATATGTACATATATAAATGTATACATTTATAATATATACATTTATAAATATGTACATCTATAAATATATACATTTATAATATATACATTCATAAATATTTACATTTATAAATATATACATTTACAATATATACATTTATAAATATGTACATTTATAAATATATACATTTATAATATAAACATTCATAAATATGTACATTTATAAATATATACATTTATAATATATACATTTATAATATATACATTCATAAATATGTGCATTTATAAATATATACATTTATAATATAAACATTCATAAATATGTACATTTATGAATATATAAATTTCATTATAAATGTATATATTTATAATATATACATTCATTTTGTGTGCTATATTTTGACTTCATATACACTTCATATACTCTACAGTTTTGAACCATTAAATCACCAACTTCTCGGCCGCTTCCTTGACCACAGAAACATTTTTTAAATCTTGGTCAAATTTTTGAATGCAGTTTGTTATAATATTATTAAATAGTTTTAAGATAATAATTCTTCATTTTCTTATTAGAGACAAAAGTCTGAGCAGTGAGATTTTAAGATTGTTTTAAGTATTTTTTCTTATTTCCAACGTTTCTTGTTTCGATAGAATAAATTTGTGATGCTGTATTTTAAACAAAAATGTTTAATAAATAAGTAAATATTACATTAAATGTATGTTTTAAAACTAGAATCAATTCGTTTGGGGCCAGTTTTATTGTATTATTTTCTTATTTCCTTGTTTTATTGACGGATTATTTTTTATAATTTCAAGCAGTTTTTGTTACATATTTTCATATATGTTTTTGAAGGTATTTTCTCCAGTGTGTAAAATGTTTCACACCTCATTGCAGAAAGTCATTAAAACATCTTGGAGGATTTCTGGCCGTGTATAAATAGTGAAAAACTCAAAGCAGAAGTGTAGCTGGACCACCTCAGAAAACAGGAACAAAAACAAAGCCTAATCCAAAGGCTAAGCTCCAGCAAAGCACAGGCCCCGGGGCCCGAGGGCAGGAGCCGGGGCCTCTCTGGTTTCGTTTTGGGGGGAGAGAATGGTCTATTTACATTACTCACATAGTGCAGAATAACTTGGCACGATGTCCTCCATCTCCACATTTGAATATTATGAAACGCAGCCTCTAGAAGTCCGTGTTTACAGTCCGTGTTTACAGTCCGTGGACTTCCTGCGTGTCGTCTCAGACCGCGGCGGGAACGAGATCTGCCAACGTTAGCTTGGTTCAAGACCCGAGAGGACACGGACCGAGAGGACACGGACCGAGAGGACAGGGACACAGCTGTGTGAAGACACAGCTAACTGTTACAAGCCTAGCTGTTACTAGCCTAGCTGTTACTAGCCTAGCTGTTACTAGCATAGCCACAGTGATTAAATTAACCTTTCATTCATAAAAGGGACTGAAGGTTATTTCATGTGTTCAGTTCAGGGCGACAGTGGCTCAGTCTCAGAGCATTGACCTTTGAGCCTGAAGGTTGTGAGTTCGAGTCCACTACAAGGCTTTCGCCACCGACTCCCACTGATGTCTGCTGTTGTTGTGTCCTTGTGCCCTACTTTGCCTATTTGCGACCATACCTGCTGCAAAAGATAACACAGACGCCCTCTTCAAGAAGGGCCAGAGCCGGCTCTTCCTGCTGAGGAGGCTCAGGTCTTTTGGAGTGCAGGGGCCACACCTGAAGACCTTCCATGACTCTGTGGTGGCATCAGCCATCTTGTACGGTGTGGTCTGCTGGAGCAGCAGCATCACAGAGAGGGACAGGAAGAAGCTGGACAAGGTCATCAGGAAGTCCAGCTCAGTCCTGGGCTGTTCCCTGGACACAGTGCAGCAGGTGGGGGACATGAGGGTCCTGGACAAACTAACATCTACAGTATGCTGGACCATGACTGTCACCTCCTGCAGGACACTCTCTCTGCTCTGGAGAGCAGCTTCAGTGATAGACTTGTTCACCCTCGATGTGTGAAGGAGAGGTTCCGCAGGTCTTTCCTTCCGGCTGCTGTCAGACTGTACAACAAACAATAAGGACCAATAAAGACAAATGAACACTGCCAACTTGATTCCAGTGTCATTCTCGCATATCCTTACCTTATACCAGAATGTGCAATACACAGCTGCCAATATACAGTTGTAAACATACTGCTGATAATGTACAGTTGTAAACATACTACTGCTGCTAATGTGCAGATGTAAACATACTGCTGCTAATGTACAGATGCTAACATATAACTACACTTTTCTTGCACTAGATTACACAGTACTTTATACTTGCCTCTTATTTTGTCAATTTTAAATTTTTACATCTATTATATTTTCAAGATAGAGATTTTATACTTATTATTGATGCTAGAGCTAGATTATTTTTATTTTGTTTAGTATAGCTATATTTCACTTAACGTGTGCTGTGTGCTCCTCTTTCCTACTGTCCTATAACCTGTGATGCAACACTGAAATTTCACCACTGTGGGACAAATGAAGCATCTCTTAATCTTAATCTTAATCAAAAGCCAGATCCTGTCAGACCTCTGAAGCTAAGCAGGACAGGGCCTGGTTAGTACGGTGATGTGAGACCTTTGGGAGCACCAGGGGCCAAAAGTGCCAAACTGTGGTTGTGTCCTTAGGCAATACACTTCCCCCACATTAGAATGAGTCTGGTGGAGAAAAGAACAGTATAAAACCAGTGCATCATCATCAGTTGCACAGAGCCGTATAACGAGCAGATAATGTACAGAACACAGGTCATTATCAGGAAAATAAGTTCCTTCAGGACAAAGGCTTTTCTGCTTCGACTGAAGAAAACTTTGAGAATCTCTAATATCCTCATTATTGTTTTATCTCCTCAGTCTGATAAATTACCAGCACTTGCACATCTCTCTCCCCCTCTCTCTCCCCCTTCCCCCCCCCTCTCTCTCCCTCACTCTCTCTCTCTCTCTCTCTCACTCTCACTACCTCCCCCCCCCCCCTCTAGCTCTCTCTCTACCCCTCTCCCCCCCCGGCCAGCGCACATTGATTAAATTGGATCAAGATGAGCGTCCTAACTGTGTCCAGCTGAGTCCAACGATGCAGAACCTTAGTGTCACGGTGTCTCGTGTCCCTGAGCGCTCGCCGTTCGGACACGGTTTACTTTGGCGCAGACGCAACTTCTTTTGAGTTTTCGATCCTCGGTCTCGACGGACGAACGCCACTGACATCATGAGAGTGATGGGAGACGCCACGGTTTGGGAAACTCCAAAGGATTGTGAGACGCTCAAAGGTTATTGTCATCTTCTCTTTTGTTCCACATCCTCAGGAGAGACGAGGATGTTTTGGTGTGAAATGTTCCGGATTATTATCAATATCTGTCGTTCAAAGTTTGAACAGAGCGAGGACTTGGAGCGAGAGGTTATTTTGAGAGTCGGAAAAACTGATACTAATCTGAGAGAGAATGTTCTGGAGCAAGATGGTCATTCTGGCCCAAGTTTAGGAAATACAGTATTTTTGTCATTGTGTCTTTGTCATGGACATAAATCCAGTCTGTCTCAGTTTGACCCCCTCCATCTCCACCTTTCCTTAATGACACCCCCCCCCCATCTCCACCTCTCCTTTATGATGTATTCCACCAACTCCAGAGTGAAAGTATTTGTTATGAAGCTTATTAAAATGTCATGACATTTTCTAACCATTTTCTAATCCACACAGACATGGACATGGTCTTTCAGTGGGGGCTTCAGGCAAAGCGAGGTTTAGTGTCTCGGTCGAACCCACAACCATTAGGTTCAAAGACCAATGCTCTACCACCTGAGCCAATGTCGCTTGTTAAAATGGACTAATGTTAGTATTGTCAGTGTAGAGTGTGTTACTTTGTGGGAATAAAACATCAATTTGTCTGCAGTTTAACACAGAACTGTTTTAAAAACGTTACAAATAATAATACAACTCATGTCATTTTTTAAAATTTCATTTTAATTTTTCTGTGGGTCCCATAAAATGGAACTGAAACTGAAACATCCCAAGATAAAGACTAAGAAGAACTGATACTAAATAATTTACGATTGACGCTGGAGTTAATGTTATGGACCATAACATATATATTTTCTTCTTTTTAAATTCCAGTGAAGGTGGATATAAATGTACATAGGATTATTCTATTATTATTTTATACTGAAAATACAATATTAGATATACAGAAACTGAAGGCTCCTCGTGCGGACGCAGAAAAGGCTGAAGTTATTTATTAGTTATTACTGTATTACTGTTTTTATAATAATTTAGTTTTGCTCATTATTTTTTTGTTCTTGATTGTATTATTTTGTATTATATTGGAACTAAATTGGATTATATTGGATTGTGTTGGATTATATTGGAACTATTCTCTCACAAGGACATCTTGCTTCTACTTTTCACTCTTGCTATTTTACTTCTTCTCAAAGTGTTTTACTGCAGATATGAGATATGCAGATATTGTTCTGTGTCTTTTGTTCATAATTTTGAAAAAAGTGAGACAAAAATGTGAACCATTTGAAATAAAACACATCATTTTCCATCGGTCCTTGTTTCGTGACGACAGATACATGTCATTTGTAAAATCATTTTGAGAGATTTTATTATGACCAAGAATCAGACCCAAATCTTTTCTTTCTTTTCATCTTCCACTTTTGGTCCTTTCATATTTCAAATACTGAAGTGAAACGGTTTTGTCAGAGCCAGAATGATAAACAAGAAGAAAACCTTTTATTTTACTGCAGTCGGGACATTTCTATTTTGCATCTGATCAAACAGTGTTGGAGAAATCAGCACAGACAAGATACAAACATCTATCTCTTACTCTATTTCTTTCACCCATGTCATAAAAAGAGTAAGAGAAAATAAACATCTTTGTCTCCATCTCTATCTATCTCTATCTCTATCTATCCATCTTTATTTATCTCTTTCTATATCTATCCATAAAAGAGTAGCACAGATCCAGTCCATCTCTCCGTGCCCGTCCCTCGGTCTACTGTGCATTTATATGATTTATTTTTGGTGCCGATCTGGAAGGCAAATGTTTGAGGGTCTAATGAGCGCAGTGTAAATGGAGGAAGTCGGGCCCAGTGCTCGGGCCTTAATCAGAAACAATATACAGCCGTGTGCTCACAGATGACCTGCCGCGCTCCGGTCGGAACGCTCCTGACGTGTTTGTTGTCTTTGGGAATTCCTGACTACTGGAATGGACTTCACCCTTTTCACTCGCTGATTTTACACGGCCCCGAAATCATCCACGTTCCGCCCTCGCACTAAAGAAAGACACACAAACAGCCAATCAGACAGAGTCGGGATGATAACGATGAGCCGCTGATACGATCGGGACCGGCAGGAGCAGGAGATGGGCAAACCCCGGCCCAGGGGCCAGAGGCAGCCCTTTAGATGTTTGTGTCAGGCCCCTGAGCCCTTCTCAGTGTTTATAGATCTAAAATGAAGACCTCCCTTTGTGCAGTGAAGACCTCCCTTTGTGCAGTGAAGACCTCCCTTTGTGCAGTTTGGGAACCTCATACCAAGACAGTAGCATTTTATAAACTTTCTTTTATCTTTTATTATTATTTTTCATCATTAATAATACCAGGATTTCTATCTTTGTGAAAAAGGTGTTGGTTATAGAGAGGCTGCAGTACCACTTTTGGCCACATTTTAAAACATACTGATACTTTAACTTTATATATTGTGTTCTCAGCAGCTCCACAAGAACACTGCTGTCGGAGCCTGAGGTCGGAGCCTGAGGTCGGAGCCTGAGGTCGGAGCCTGAGGGCGGAGCCTGAGGTGGTGTTTAGACCTCAGGTTCTTATCCCAAGGCTGCGGTCTTCCCAAGGTCAGTCCGAGTCCCACGGTTTCCATCTCATGTAAAAGTGTCTCATTGGTTAAAACTAGATTCTAATTTGCAAGTGTTCTCAGTTGTATTTATTCTTGTACTGTCCTACATCACAACAGCAGTCGTCACGGAGGACTTTAATAATAATGAGCACTTTATCGTCTCTGGAGACATCCATCCTCTGCATTTGACCCATCCTGATGCCCAAAGGCTCACACCAGGAGCAGTGGTCGCCGTAGCAACAAAGACAAAGCAAAATTATCTTATCATTTAAAAAGACACAAGAAAGGTCTCCCAGTTCATCAGACTAAATGTCTTTGTCCCACTGGAGATAAATGTCTTTGTCCTTTTGGAGAATCTGGTTTGGACTCAGATAAAACATATTCAACCAAATATTACCTCATTTTTGATCATTTTTTGCATCTTTAATTTTGGTCCAAACCAAAAAAGCCACTCATTTTTAGCAACACGGCAGCTCTCCCGCCGCTCTCCTCTCTCTCTATCTCCCCTCTCTCTCTCCTCTCTCTCTCCCCCCACTCTCCCCTCTCTCTCTCCTGTCTCTCCCATGTCTCCCCTGTCTCTCCCTCTCTCCCACACAGAGCAGAACAGATGTATCAGGTAAAGTGGACGTGGTTATTGCGCCTCCATCGCAGACGCCCCTCTCTCACCCCTTTCTCCCCCCCGCTCTCTCCCCTCTATCCCCTCTCTCTCCCCCCTCTCTCAGGTGAAGTGGACGTGGTTATCGCGCCTCCATCGCAGACGCCCCTCTCCTTCTGGTGCATTCAATTAGGCCTCTCGCCACTCTCTCCTAATGCCCTCTCTGGCTCCGATAGACCGAGGTGGTCCCGCTGCGCCCGGGCCCTGGACAAAACCCCAGCCTGTCAAACCTGATCCCAGCAAAGCCGCGTGGATCTCGTCTCTCTCCGTCACCATGGAGACTAATCACATTTCCACTGGTCCAGGGCCACATGCAGGATTTCCTGATCAAACGCAAGAGCCATTATCTAATATGTTTTCTATGCGCAGGGGTCAAGCGCAGAGTAACGCTCTGGGGGTAACTCTATACAGCCTCCTGCAGCAAGGATGGAGAGAGAGAGGGAAGAGAGAGGGGGAGAAAGAGAGAGTCATCCATGGGTTAGGAAGGAGCCAGGCCCGATCCGACAGGGGTCAAAACCAGGACTCACCCCGACTTCAACCCACATCAGGGACAAACAGCGCTGGAAAGCATTAAAAGGTCTGCAGAGGCTGAACTTGGGCGAAACACAAGGAGACACAGCCTGTCGGGAGACGTTAGAGCGCTGTTTATATGAAGGAAAGGTAGAGAAAGGTATGGGCTGCCTGAAAGTGACGATAACTTACACTACATCCAATCACACAATCTCAGCCAGAGTTAAAATAAATGCAAGACTCTAAATACGATGGATTGGATTGTTTTTTATACATGGAATCAGCAATAAATTCAATTTATATTTTTTCAATGTCAAATACATTATTTTGTTTTGGGCATATCTTTTTTTTTAAATGCTTGAAGTTTTGCAACGCTTATTATTGATGTCATACTATGGCGCTACACCATTCTCAGTGTGTGTTTTACTCCAACACTTTGATTTGTGTAAAGAACTGTTTGAATGCACAAAAAAGTGACACAGATTTGTTTTTTAAGTTTAGTTTTAGTTTTAGTACACTAATCAGCTGTCATATGAGACTTTCACTCTAGAAGCAAATCAAAATGGTCACACTCTGGATGGACTCTGATGTTTATATAGACGATGAACTTGGCCAGCGCCTGCCCAGGGCAGGATCAGTCACGGTAACACTGACCTGAGAGTGTGTGGGGGGTGGGGTCAGGGTCCAGGGAGTCTAGATAGAAAGTCCACAGAGAGTCCACAGAGAGTCCATAAAGTCCAGAAAAAGTCCAAAGAGTCCAGAGAGAGCCTCTGGAGGCCCTCTGGAGGACCCCTGGAGGACCCTCTGGAGACCCTCATGGAGGACCCCCTGGAGGCCCTCATGGAGGATCCCCTGGAGGCCCTCTGGAGGCCCTCTGGAGGCACCCTGGAGGACCCTCTGTAGGCCCTCTGCTGCTAGTGTCAACAGTCATGGCCGCCTCGACACCAGGCACATGTGAACGCTCTGCAGTGCTATCTGACTCTAACCAAACACCTCAGACCCAAGAATCTGCAGCAGTCTGTTCCCAGTGAGGCCTGAGTCTGAGCCTGAGTCTGAGTCTGAGGGAGAGAGACGAGAATGTGGGAGTGGAGACAGAGAATGGGGAATGAGGAAAGAGGAAAGAGGAAAGAGGAGAGGCAAAGAGGGAATAAGGATCGTCAGAATGGCCCTGAAGGTTAATGAGCAAATTCAGGAAGACAATGGATGCTTTTAAATGTCCAAACTGCCCTGAGTCTGGCTCCTGATTAGCTCGTTGAATGTTAGCAGGTTGCAAGAAGAAAGATGGTGTAGGGTTTGACTTCTTCATGAGGCCTTTATAAGTTTGCATGTTGTAATAGTAGTTTTGTAATTATTTATTTCAAACCTATATGTCATACATCAAAAACAACTTACAAGAAAGACAGAAATACAGTGGGGAGAAAAAAGCATATTTAGTCAGAAAGTCATCCAACAAAAAAAGATGAGATGTCTGTGATTTTCAGTGTAGGTAAACCTCAAATATGAGAAACGAAATGAGAATAATCCAGAAAATAATATTGATTTTAAAATAATTTATTTGCGAACAATGGTGGGAAATAAGTATTCAGTCAACAACAAAAGTCTGTCTCAATACTTTGTCATACACACTTTCTTGGCACTGGCAGAGGTCAGACATTTTCTGTAAGTCTTCACAAGGTTTTTACACACTGTTGCTGGCATTTTGGCCCATTCCTCTTCTAGAGAAATTATGTTTGGGGCTGTCGTTGGGCAACATGGGACTTTCAACTCCCTCCAAATATTTTCTCTGGAGTTGAGATCTGGAGACTGGCTCGACTGAATTTTACCAGAGTAATTAAAATAAAGGTTTTTATTTTTGTTTTACCTTTACTCACTCTTTGCTAAAACAGGCCATTATGACTGCCAAAAAGGCTATTGCTAACTTCTGACTGTAAATAGTGTGTTTCTATGGTTACAAGCAACTTTTATTATCTGGTGGAAAATTATTTAAAAGTAGAACCACTGACGTTTCAACAGTTAAAGATAATATCATAAAAAAACAATGACATAGAAAATAAAATACACAAAGATTCAGAAAAAGTCAAAGTTAAAACAATCACAAATGTACATAATATTAATTAAACTTCCAAAATGTAAAGCCGTCAAATCGACTACTCTGGGAGTTTGGCACTTCTTATACAAAATCAAATCTTGCCAAAAGAGAGAGAGATAAGGAGAGAGAGATTCGGGGAAAGGGAGGGAAAAAGACAAGAGAGAGACTTTGAAAGCGTCTGAACCCAGAGAGGAAACGTTTTTTTGGCATGAGTCGAGACAAAATGGCCGACAGACGGACTCCACTTGAGGCAGGGCCACACTTCAGAGCAGACGAGAGGAAGCAGAGATCTCCCAGACTGAAAAGTTCACGATCTCTTCAAAAAATGTCCTCTTTCTGGAGTTCAGCGGTCTCTGAGGGGCCTAAAGTGTACCGTGACCTTATTGGCTGTCAGCCCGAGTTTGAGGCGCCTGATTGGCCGAGGCACATTCCACATTCAACCCCACTCTAAACTTACATGGCCATTAATGTCAGTCTATCAAATGATATGCTCTGTGAGAACTCATTTAGACGTGTTATACTTGTCAGGAGCCCAAGAGCACCTACAAAAAACACTTAGCAAAAGGCGGGATAGAAAACGGGTAAATAGGAAGCTTTGTACGTTAACTTTTGAGCGTGAGGCTGGTGCTGATTTGCTGATCTCAAAAATCCCATCCGAAATCTTAACCCAATTTATAGCCATAAGAACATAACACAGTATATAATGTGATCATACCTGTTCCTCTGCATGTGTGTGTGCAATGTCAAAATATGCAGATCGAATCACTGGCCGGAGCTGCGGGTTCATGTGCAGGTTATGGACGATATGTGAGAGGGGAAAATAAAAGAAGCATATATATTAGAATCTAGAATAGTGAGGTTTTTAGTAATATGTAGGTTTGTGATGAAGGGAAGTTTGTTACTGCACTTGCAACGTTGTTCTACACAAACACACTAAAATGTCCCCACTGTGGGTAGAATAAAGGTCTATGTGTTAGCCTCAGCAGGCGTTAGACCTGCTCCCTTCTACATCAAACAGACCTTAGATTGTTTATGAGTTAGTATCAGGATTAGGGTGTGGCTAACCACACCCATAGGTTATAAATCTCCAACGCGCGGTCTGAGAATTCATTCCCTGAAGAAGTCCTTTGGATTGAGGATGAAACGTCGGGAAAACCTGCTAAGAAGTACAGATGATGGGTGAGAAACCTTCCTTTGCTTTAATAAAGGTCTATCTTATCTCATGACACACACACACACACATACATACATATGCATACACACACACATACAGTACATGTACACACACATATACATATATACATGTACGTACACACAGACACACACTCATACATTTACATACACACACATAAAGTATATACATATACATACACACACACACACATACTACCTTTACGTTCCTTGGTTCCCAGTTTAAATATAAGTAATTTTCTCATAATGCATGACAGACTGGTCCAACGTTCAGGATAGCATGGACTGGCCTCTTTAGCACGGACTGGCCTCTTTAGCATGAACTGGCCTCTTTAGCATGGACTGGCCTCTTTAGCATGGACTGGCCTCTTTGGCATGGACTGGCCTCTTTAGCATGGACTGGCCTCTTTAGCATGGACAGGCCTCTTTCTTATGGCATGGCTTCTTTAGCGTTGACTGGCCTCTTTAGCGTGGACTGGCCTCTTTAGCATGGACTGGCCTCTTTAGCATAGACTGGCCTTTTAAGCGTGGACTGGCCTCTTTAGCGTGGACTGGCCTCTTTAGCATGGACTGGCCTCTTTAGCAGGGACTGGCCTCTTTAGCAGGGACTGGCCTCTTTAGCATGGACTGGCCTCTTTAGCATAGACTGGCCTGTTCTCTTGAGGTTTGTACCGCGATCAGCTTTCGCCTCAGCCCCGGCTCGGCCTGGCTTGGTCCGGCTTGGCCCGTCAGTCGTCGCGCTCGTCACATGTGTCAGAGGAGCTGTTGGCCCGTGCTTAGCCCCTGAGCCTCACGGGTTAAAACAATGTGTGACTTCCTGCCATTGTAAAACACCCAGACGCACATATTAAGAGCATCATGATGGGTTGACCTTTTTATATATACTGTTGATGTGTATTTGTATGTACATATGTTTTTGCGAGTTTGTTTGTATATACATATATGTACATGTTTGTTTAATAAGCACCAGTCACGTGACTGCCTTTGGTCACGTGACTGGATCTTTAAAAATGCTACCAGGTGTGTCTGGTTTTTCAAGTCTGACGAAGGGCCTCAGCCCGAAACGTTACTATTTTGTGTGGTATGTAAATAAATTACACTGTTTTTGGGAGCTACATAGCTGTGCGGATTATTTTTCACTGTTTTCTACGTCTTGCATTTTTTAATCCAGCACGCCAGCTCAGATCACAGGGATGTGCGGCCTTATTTGACCTTTTCCTGCCATTGTGCCCATGAGCCAGACTGGCCCAGGCCGCGGTGAGGCCGGTCCTGGTCGTGTGGCCGCAGCTGCCTCTGGACCCGAGCCAAAGTTAACCTCGAATGGTTAGAAACAATCCAAAGATGATAATGTGGGTTTTTATTTTGTTTTTTAGTTCTTTAGTTCTCTGTGATTTTTTTTTTACTTTCACTTCTGGGTCCAGTCCCATGTGTTAATGGTCTGCCCCGCCCTAATGTGTTGATGGTCTGCCCCGCCCCCATGTGTTGATGGTCTGCCCCGCCCTAATGTGTTGATGGTCTGCCCCGCCCCCATGTGTTGATGGTCTGCCCCGCCCTAATGTGTTGATGGTCTGCCCGGCCCCCATGTGTTTGATGGTCTGCCCCACCCCCATGTGTTGATGGTCTGACCCGCCCCAATATGGTTCATCTGTGTCTATGGGCTATATGCACGGGGAGGCGTGATGTCATTTCCTGTTAACAAAGCACAGCCCGTTCACTTCCTGCCTATGCTATCCTATGGCTTTTAGGTGGGTTTTAGTGACGTTTTTTAGTAATTAGATTGATACATTCAGCTGTGAGACTGACCCAAAAGTGTCGCTGTGCTTTCTCTCTGAGGTAGAGCTTTGACTGTGGCCACTCAGAGAGATTTGTAAACTTTATAAAAACAATGACAGCACAATCAAAGAGCACTGTTGTGTCCCAAAAATGCCCAGTATCCTCACAGTTTAATTCCCGTTTGAGCATTATTTGGGAAACTCGTGTAAACCACTGCTGAACTCCAGTGAAACTCAAGCCGTTTCCCGCGAACAGGAAGTGAAGTGGGGTAGTAGCTAAAACGCGGAAGTGGTGCGTGCATAGAGCCCATTAGATCAGAAAAACTTTATTGATTAAAAGACAGAAAAAGACAGGAGTGTGCGACATGTTGAGATTGTGCACAGATTCTATTCATTAAAACAATAGCAGTTAAATTGTAGTATTGACATTTTCAACATCAATACAATGATTATTATTATTATTATTATTAAAAATATTATCATTACGCAGTAGCTTGAATGGTTTTCAGGGAATATGCTGATGCACAGTATCAGCAACCACAAAATTCATTTATTTTTATTGTTTTGTTTCTATGTTATGTTTTGTTTGTGGTTTCCTTCTGAAGCTGCTCCACGCCTTTCTGAATCTCTCTGATTGTCTCTGAATCTCTCTGAATTGTTCTGAATCGTTCTGAATCTTTCTGAATCTCTCTAAATCTCTCTGAATTGTTCTGACTCTCTTTGAATCTCTCTGAATCGTTCTGAATTGTTCTGACTCTTTCTGAATCTTTCTACATTTTTTTTGAATCTTTCTGAATTGTTCTGAATCTTTCTGACTCTTTCTGAATCTTTCTGACTCTTTCGGACTCTTTCTGAATCCCCAGTTGAACGATGTCTTGCTGCAGTACGTGTGAAGTGAAAACAACCGTCTCCGCGGCTGCATTAAGCCTCATGTTAAACAAACTCAACATGTGCCGCTTCCTCTTCTTAAAAACTCCACTTTTATCCACGAAGCCAGAGGCGGTCGGCTCCAGGCCCCGGCTACAAAGACCCGGCCGGACCCCGAGGTTCCCGCTACAGGGTCAGGGGCCAAGCGCTGTGCCAATGCAAATTATGAGTGTAGGAAACGGAAAGCTTTGGCCGACAGATGTAAAAGGAGCGTATTAACAAATGTTATTGGGGCTAATGCGACACAGGCAGATTTTAGACGGAAACGTCCGACAATTGTGACCAGGTGAAGAGGTTTAAAGAACACGTATGATGAAGAATCAGTGTTAAAGGGAATTATGCAACTTTTATTTGGGAAAAAAACAGAGGTTAAATGTTTGCATATTTATTTTGTAACCAGTATTTGACTTCTCCTCACTCCCTTTCAAGCAAAGAACACTTCCTTGTTATATACTATGTTATATATGTATTATTATATATTGTTTACTATAATGTTTAAGATACCACCAGTTTTTATTATTATTGTTTTATTCTCATGCTTCAAATAGTAATTATTAATTCATTCATAATTGAGTCAAATGTACAAAACCGTCAACATTTTATTTATTAATTTTTAACAATAAAAAGTTGCTAAAAGCACCTTTCATTTCCACCCTTAAACTTGATCATGGGAATAACCTCTGGCATTTAGTCTTTGAGAATGATGAATAAAATCCTCCTTTAAACCTTTGATAAGACCTTTATTTGGAAGGTCCCCAGATGTGCTGTGTATGTGAACAAGTGTGAATATTGTCTTTGTTCCATTATGATCTTTTCTCTTAAAAGCACTTCCTCCTCTTTGGCGTTCGCAGCAGAGACATAATGAGCGTGTGTGAGTGGCGTTCTACCTGAGCAGAGAAGTGCAGCCGCTGTGGGACGAGAGGCGCCGCCGTTTATCAGGCTCCAGCATCAGAGGGAAATGTAAAAATGTGAAACTGCCGAGAAAAAGCTCACTGTGGTACTTTCAGAGAGGATCTGGCAACGCACCAGCGAGATCTGGCAACGCACCAGCGGGAAGTGATGGAGGCTCAGAGAGAAGTGAAAGGGGAAGACCACACTTTACACAGAATAGAACTTTCCCTCCATACATGGTGATAAACAACTGTAGCCACAGCTGCCCTGGGGCACACTAACAGAAGAGAGGCAACCAGTCTGTGCCATCGGCCCCTCCCACCACCACCAACCATTCACACACACACACCAGACTCATTCTAATGTACGATGTGTTTGTTATTATAGTGTTTCTGTGCTTGCACTGATCTGTTGTTGGAGAATCCACTAAACTCAGAGACACTGTTTTTGAAACAAAAAATGACATTACATTAAAGTTAGAAGTGATCATGAAACTACTTTATAATGATATAATAACAACAGAGACATTCAGGGCGACAGTGGCTCAGTGTGAGCCCACCACAAGACGCTGGTGGTTCTGGGTGTAGGACGCAGTAGGCTCTGGGTGTAGGACGCAGTAGGCTCTGGGTGTAGGACGCAGTAGGCTGTGGGTGTAGGACACAGTAGGCTCTGGGTGTAGGACGCAGTAGGCTCTGGGTGTAGGACGCAGTAGGCTGTGGGTGTAGGACGCAGTAGGCTCTGGGTGTAGGACGCAGTAGGCTCTGGGTGTAGGACGCAGTAGGCTCTGGGTGTAGGACGCAGTAGGCTGTGGGTGTAGGACGCAGTAGGCTCTGGGTGTAGGACGCAGTAGGCTCTGGGTGTAGGACGCAGTAGGCTGTGGGTGTAGGACGCAGTAGGCTCTGGGTGTAGGACGCAGTAGGCTCTGGGTGTAGGACGCAGTAGGCTCTGGGTGTAGGACGCAGTAGGCTGTGGGTGTAGGACGCAGTCGGCTCTGGGTGTAGGACGCAGTAGGCTCTGGGTGTAGGACGCAGTAGGCTGTGGGTGTAGGACGCAGTCGGCTCTGGGTGTAGGACGCAGTAGGCTGTGGGTGTAGGACGCAGTAGGCTGTGGGTGTAGGACGCAGTAGGCTCTGGGTGTAGGACGCAGTAGGCTCTGGGTGTAGGACGCAGTAGGCTCTGGGTGTAGGGCTGAATGGTCCCACTATGACATCAGGACAGAAGGATGAAGGTTCTTGGCTCTGACGTCGCTGCAGCAGGAACAGAAACAGATGGAATCCAACGACAACACCATAATCCCGACCACACATTTCCACTTCACAACAATCGGAGCCGCGTCCGTTTGTTCCAACGCTTCATTCACAACATGAAAGACAAGAGACTGGAGCTGAACTCAGTCAGAGTTCAGGACAAAATGGGTTCAATTCCCTTGCAGAGCATCCTTATCTGTGAGTTGTTCACATGTTTCCCCGTGTCTGTGCAGGTTTCCTCCAGGTGCTCCAGTTCCCCCCCCACAGTGGGGAAAATTCCAGTGTTGCATCACAAGTTATAGATCAGTAGGAATGAGGAGCACACAGCACAAGTTAAGTGAACAAAATCTCTAACTACGGACCTGCTCCTGTCTTAGTGAGGAGTGAGAGGCAAATAATCAACACTAAAAACACAAAAATGCATGATCATAATAAGGTAACTTTTAGAAATGTCAGTGTTGCAACTCATATCAACTCAGACTAGATGAAAAGGAAGCAGACGAGAACAAATAACCCACATTGTGTTTTCTTACTTTCAGTTTCTGTATCGTTGGGTTTTATGGCTGACATCATCTGACATTATTATTATTTCACACATTATACATTGCTGCTAACTGTAACTCTGTATTTCACCTTATTAAACTGTATTTTAATATATATTTCAGAAACTTGCACTTTTAGAAAGTAGCTCAGTTGGTAGAGCATTGGCCTTTGAGCCTGAAGGTCGTGGGTTCGAGCCCACCACAAGACCTACTCCATCGACTCCCACTGATGTCTGCTGTCGTTGTGTCCTTGGGCAAGACACTTCACCTCTGGGAACAGCAGGTGCCACAGTGGGGCGGCTGTGGCTGAAAAGTGCCAAACTGTGGTTGTGTCCTTTGGCAAGACACTCTGTCTGTCTCTGTCAGTGTGTCCCAGGGCAGCTGTGGCTACAGTAGTAGTTTATCACCACTGTGTTTGGAGTGAATGAATAATGATGTCAAGCGTCTTTGAGTGTCCACTGTGCCCCACTGTGGCACCTGCTGTTTACTTACGAAAGCCTCAATTTCTTGTAAATTCCTGGGCTGGCTTGCATGAACAGCGGACACACACAGAGGGACTCATCAGTGATGTTAGGAAAGAGAAATCACGTTTATTTTAATTATTTATTTCTACATCAATAAAGATGACTAAACTATTTACTACTTACGTTCTTCTAACGTCCAAAAAACACATGTCTATCTGTCTTTTGCACGTTCTCCTCGCTGTGTAGCTCTTGTATTAATAGCCCTGACACAGTTGTGCAGAGATGGGGGGGTCTGGGGGTGTGTAACTCTAGAGCAGAGGGCTTTGCTAAGTGAGAGCAGCTGATGTTGCATCATTCTTCAAACATTCTTTTAAATTAACAATATGTCAAAGGCTACGCGGCGCTCGCTGACACGGCCCGATGCCTTTTGGATAAGACCTGACCCTCGCGCCGCCGTGACACTGAGGACGCCACGCTCCAAATGTTCTTCTGCAATGTGCAAAGTCCTGGTTTAGTTTGGTGTTTTTATTGCATTATTCTGAATCTGAAAAGACAATAGAGAATTTGATTTGTCTTCATTTCCCTTATTTCAAACACCAAAACTAATACAAATATTAATTAATATAAAACAAATACTCTGTAATAATAATAATAATAATAGTTTGTATGGCATCTTTCATAACCTTACAATATATTAAAATCATCCAACACAATATTAAAAGTACAGACTGTAAAACATTAGAATAGAATAGAATTACAAGAAGAGTGTGTGTGTGTGTGTGTGTGCGTGTGTGTGTGTGAGGGTGTGTGCGTGTGCGGGTGTGTGTGTGTGCATGTGTGTGTGTGTGTGTGTGTCTCATACAATGGTAGTGTAATTTGTTGATTAATTGTGTTGCATTTTGTGTATCATAATCATTGTGTTGAAGTGTGGGAGAGAGTTTGGATAAAATAAGCTACTGCTTCATCCCACCCCTTTTCACACCTGTAATGTGGAATTGTGTTCTGCTGGTTTTAAATATGTCTAACTGACAAGTTCACATTTGGTTTGGTTTCTTTATTGAATGTATGTATCTGTTTCTGCACTTAATAATTTATGTGATTATTGTTTTTTTAATGTATTTATTTATTTATTAATAAAAAGACTCCCCGAAAAGCTCTGTGAAGCTGATATTGGGGTCCCACATAAACATACACACTCTAATGGAACACAGGAAGTTTAGTTTAAGTTTACACACACACACACACACACACACACACACACATACAGGCACACACAGGCACACAAACACACACGAACACACACTCCTTTGAGGGCATCACTGTCACTCATCCATGTACTTTTTTGTTTGAATTGTAAAAGTCTTTCCACAGAGTACCTCTCAGATATACATTGATTAATTAAGTTTTTTATTTCCATCCCCCCCCCGGTGGCAGCAGAGGGAGTTACAGACAGATGACAGATGTTGTTTCTCTTCTTACTTTTTTCACCATATTTTAAATATTACTTCAATTTCCAAAACATTGTTATTTTTTTACATTTATTTAATCACTTCTTCTTTAATATTCACATGACATTAACCAGAAAAGATCACATCCTTTTTATGGACATTTATGAACATTTCTGGACCAATAGCTCTGTGATTTTTTATGGTTGCATTTAAACTGTTTGATCTGTGTTGGTGAATTGACAACATTGTTAAGTCCTCTGAGATAACTGCTGTTGAGATTTAGGCCTAAACAAATATAAATAATTGTAAATAAAACCTTAATACTAAAATTAAAAGCATGGTCGTCCTGACGCTGTGTGAAGCCGGTTGGAGGCCGCAGATGTTTGAAGCTGTTGGAATGTTTTCCCACTGCATGAAGAGGCCGCTGCGTCGCTATTGGCCGCCCCCTCCATGTCATGTGACCCAGGTCATGTGACAGCAGAGGCCCACGCTGTCCCGTCCCGGACCAGAGGGAAGCCACATCAAACACAGAGGATCTTTCAGAGGACACACAGCGGGGTCAGGTCTGTGATCGGGGCAAGAGCAAGAATCGCATAGGTCTAGATTACATTAGACTTCTCTGAGGTCTTTCTTTCACTCATCTCCAAAAACTGATATATGTCCAGAACTTTGCTTTAGTCCTGCTCCAGAAAACACATCACCCCATCCTCAAATAACTCCACTGGCTCCATTTCACATACAATATAACAATATATAATATATCCTCATCATCAATAGGTCCTTGTCTAACCTGGCCCTCTGGATTCTCACCGACCTCCTCCATCAGCTCTGATCTCCCAGATCCATCGACTCCAACCTACTCACCGCCATCAGGACTAAGTGCAGAACCTTAGGGGGCCGAGTCTGAACCCTGAGGACCGAGACTTCAGAACCCTGAGGACTGAGCCTTGTGAACCTAGGGAACTCTCTGGAACTCTTTGGAACTCTCTGGAACTCTCACGATCTCTCTGGAACTCTCTGGATTTCTCTGGAACTCTTTGGAACTCTCTAGAACTCTCTGGAACTCTTTGGAACTCTCTGGATCTCTTGGGAACTCTCTGGAACTCTCTGGATCTCTCTGGAACTTTCTGGAACTCTCTGGAACTCTGTGGATCTCTCTGGAACTCTCCCACAACACATCACAAACAAAAATAAATTAAATGGAACTATTTTCTTCCACATTTATCACTGCTGCAGAAACATATTGACTTTACATCACACCATTTTTACAACAAACACATTTCAACATCACTTCTCTCTGGGTGTTTTTGTGTCTGATGTGAAGATTGCAGAACCTCATGTTGGCAGTAACTCTCTGAAACATCTATCATAGTTTTTCTACAGAGCTACTGTAAAAAAGTCTCCAAACGGCAAGCGCTGACAGACAGGTTCAAACATCCCGAACGCTGAGGCAGATTCAGATGAAACTTTGGTGACATCAGACTCTGAGCGTCTACGTCCAACGGAGGAAGAGGCAGAACATGGAATATATTTTATTGTAAATATATTTTATAGAATAAAGAAAAACATTCGAAGCTTCCATTGTCTAACCAACCTGTCTTTGTGAAATGTATGTAAGGCTATCAGGTGTGGGGTATTCTTGCACAGGTTTGCAAAACCTGTGCAAGAATATAAACATATATTAACATATAATATTCAATCGCTAATATCCAGTGAGTAGAGATATGTCAGTGACCAGTGGAGACTGTAGTATGTGTGCAACCACCTGCTCACTCTTTGAACCGTGGTACAACAATGTTTCTTTTCTTTTGTTTTTTTATTGTTTTGAAGACAACAGTGTTATTCCACATTACACACATCAAAGTAGTACTTTCTCATTGACACGTTTAGTCATGTCTTTTTTAGCCTGCATCTTTCTTAGATACGTACAAAAGTGAAAAAGAGTACCATCCATACTCTGCCAATTGGCAAAAGGATGATTAAATGTAGTGTAACATTTTCTAAAATCTGTCTTACTTCCAACCAAACCATGCATGTGTTAAGATCATAGACTGTAAATATTGTTTAAATGTATGAAGTAGATTCCGTGTTTTGAGGAGGGTGGAGCGTTGTACTGACAGACTGTGGCTTTCATTTCCTCGTCACTTACTGTAAGCTGTTGTGTGTTGATTGTGTTGTGTGTGTCGATGATTGTGCGTTCCTCCCTGTTGGACAATAACAACAACAGCTGTTAGCATCTCGCGTGTAACGGACACTTCCCCCTCCTCCGTGCTCCGTGGCTCTACGTCGTGACAGATGTGACAGTAATGAATCACCTTCTTCCCAACCGGACCCAGGAAGCAAACACGACCGGGCCTCGGCGGCTAAAATTATCTCCCGGCTCCATCACCACGTGCTTTAGTGGCTCTGCGGCTGGTGTGCGCTTATGTGTAGCCGCGGTTAGTTGTCTAAATAAGGCCGAGATCAGAGGGGTCGGGGTGGGGGTGGGGTTCCTGTTCTGACGGGACACTGATTTGCTGAAGCTGTCACCGAAGGGAAATTATTGTTTGTCAGAGCGTCACGAGAGGTCTCCAAGCTCAAGCTCAAAGCTCAAACTCAAAGCTAAC